TCTCCTCATATACAGGCCTTAAAATGTCATTTTCTATTTTTTGGAATTTTCTAGAATTTTTAAGTATTACTTTCATTTTTACCCATTCCTGGCTCGAAACTTTCTAAAAATTACGGTTTTGCCCCTGGTCAAGTGAACCTCATAAATCACCCTATTATGGCCTCTATCATAACCTTTGGTCTGAACTAACCTTTTTTCTCATTTCTAGGCCTTAAGACTTCACTAGAGCCTCTAATTTTCTTTACATTTTAGTCCCTAGAACTTTCTCTATTTACAGTTTAGTCCCAGAAACCCTTCAATATTCCTTTTACATTTCTGGGACTCCTGCTCATAGAAATTTAGTAGCCTACCTATCTTAGGTTAATCCGTGTATTCTTAGGCCCAAAAACTTGGGGTGTGACAACAGCAAGATCAACTTTCATTATTTATGTGCTAATGACCAACTCAATCCTTTTCTCCGTATACCGCTCAAGAACCTATCAAAAGCAAAAAAGTAGAAACACAAAAAATATATGTAGAATCTAAAAATGATAAGTAATCGAGCAAAGATGAGTAATTTGGTAGCCAAGCAAGAAGCCAAACTTAAGATGAACAAGGATAGATAGCAAGAGCAAAATAGCACAATGCACTTCTTAGATCCCATCAAAATGATATTTAGAAGAGAAAACTTAGGGAAGACACACTCAAGAATAATTCATAGGTTTAGAATGAAATATGCATCAAGAAAAACAATGAAGCGAGCACCAGAGATCATGTATCATTCATGGCTTCATGGGTCTTAGATCTTCTTCCTTTTGTTGCCTCCCTCCTTTAAGAACTTCCTGAGCTTCTTTTCTATCGATGCCTTTGTCAAATTCCAAAAATTTTCATCTAGGAATAGAGGATCAAAAATTGGGATGAGAGTCAATGTAGGAACCAGATGATGAGATAAAACAAATTTTGATGTGGAATCCCAAAAAGGTCTGAGCTGCCATTTCTGTAATTATCGATCTAGGAAGAGCAAAATGGGAAAATTTAAGAAAAATTCCATAAAATCCCTGAAAAATGGAAAAAGTGTAGAGTAGAGGTTTTGGAAACTCGATTAAGGTGTGAAAGGTACAATTTCACTGAAAATGAATTATTATGGAATTTCCTGTAAATGGAGGTTTTTCGGGAAATTATTAGGAAAATGAAGGAAAATAATTATTTTAATGAGTTAGAGGCTTCAATAAATTTGGGAGATTGATGAAAAATTAATACAAATGTTTATTTGAATTTATAAAATTATTTTTAGGCTTTGAAAGCTCAGGAATTAATTTTAGAGAATTTATTTTCTCTCAGATTTACCGATAAAAGTCTAATCAGAGAAAATTCAAAATAAATTCCTAAAGGTGGTGAAATTTTCTGAAAATTTTCAGATCATATTATCATATTAAAAGGTGAATTATCATGGAGAGAAATAAATTTTTGGAGGTCTGAAAAATTTATGGAATGTTACTAGTGAATAGTAACCGATAAAGTTTCAAATTGGTTTGGAATAGTGATTTGGCTTGTGGGCCATATTTTTGGAACAATCTAAGCTATTTTTGGAGCCCAAAATATACCCATTAAAGGCCCAATTTCGTGCACTTTCCATATTCCACCATTTTTATTAAATAAAATACAAAATTAAAGGATATTTGTGTGGAAAAATCTAGAGAAATGCCACATGGTGAGATCACTTGATGGCTGCCAACACACCTCCTTATCTGTCATTTGGGCGTGCTAATTAGGGGGGAAAGTGGCATAATTTTTTATCTATAAATACCCTTTGAAAATACAAAGAAAATGTTAGAAAATTGGGAAAAATAAGGAGAAACTCTACCACTGTTCATCCAGCCCTGTTGCATAAAATTCTTGAGGATTTTTAGGCAAGAAATCATCCAACTTACTTCAAGGAAACACTAAGATATGTCCAAGCATCACTATCCTTAAGTTTTACATTACTTAAACAAGGATTTTTGCTTGGAAAAATACTGGAAAATTCTGAGAAATTCGGTTGAGATGTGTGATGCTTAGAGAAGGATAGAAACCTTAATAATCAAGTGGAATAAGGAAGATTAAGTGGTGTATGGATTTATTTTTGGATGAAATCAAAGTTAGGATTTAAAGGGAAATTTTCGGCCAGCACCGTTCATGCAGGAGCTGATGGATTTTGCTTGATTTGATGATTTTAATGGCTTTAAAACATGTTTTTGTGTAGGGATATGTTGTTAGAAAGTGTTTAAAATCATTGGAATCAAAAATAGAATTTTTAGAAGACTAAGGACCCTTATTTGGCCAAACCAGGTTCATAGGGAAGGAGTGTGATTTTCAAAAATCTAATTGCACCATTGGATTCCTCATGAAAAATTGTGTAGAATTGAGTCATGAGATGGTTGATTCTAAAGAAGGAATCAATTTGTTAAAAATCAAAGAAAAAGGGGGGAAATTGTAAGGTAGCTTTGAATTATAATTTGACTATTTATCTTGCTTGTTTGTTGTGATTGTTGTTGCTTGGATTGGAGGAACTTTGTAGTGACATTGATTGTTTGATTGACATTGGTTATGCTTTGACCAAATGCTTTATGATATGTCAATATGAATAATATGATGTTCTTCTCCTCGCATGATATTTGGTATGAATTCCTAGAAGTTGGGAATGATTTGGATTGCATGACATTTCACAATTAAACCTGCATTGATTTACATGATGATTATAATTTATATGCTACTAAGATTTCTTTGAAATCTCATTCCTCCTATGTTATTTTATGTCCTAATTAGGAAGTGGACCAAGTATGGATCAAGGGAAGGAATTGGCCTTGGCATGAAATGACTTTATGAATATTATATTATGTTAGAAACTTTTGCAATGTGTAATAAACCTTACATGAATTTTGTAATAAGTTATGGATGATGTTTTGATGTAAATTATATTTTTATCCCATGTTCCAATGTTAGAATTATACCTGAGGCATTGTGGAAAGAATGTGGTTGAAGGAAAAAGGGGAAATAAATCAAGAAAATGGTAATTAGGGGATAAAAATTTCCTAAAAAGTACCAAACTTGTAGCACATGAAATAATGAGCAATTGTTGGAGTTTGGACATGAAATTTTATAGACAAATAGATATCATTTTTAGCTTTAAAACAAATGGTAATTCATTAAATTTGGAGTTGTGTGCTAAGTTATGTCCTCCCAAAATTAGGCAAAAATACTGAAAATTCGAAAATTTATCAAATGAACAGTACACTTTGACGAATTTTCTGGAATTAGTGTGGATGGAATTGGACCTAATGATTATTTTTCCTCCATAGAACTCTTAGAAAGCTTCGTGTGGAAATTAGAACCACTTCGTTTTGATTTTTCTGGATTTAGTTATGAATTTTCAAAATTGGCCCATTTTCGGATAAACAGTATATGGATAAGATGAACAGTAAAATCCTGAATTTCAAACTTTTCATCCAGAAATGTTACGAAACGACTTACATTGGTTCCAATTGACGTATAATAGCTTATAAAGAGAGGTGTGACAGCCTTCTTTTTCAGCTTCTTCTCAGCAGTCTTTTATGATCTTAAAAGCGTGAAAGGTGATAAGCAGTAGAGCTTCGATGATGCTTGAATCTTAAAGGAGTAATAGGAATAGAAGAATCAAGAGCAATCTTACAATGGGGTCAGGTATCTTGCAGCATGAAAGACGAGATAGACGACAAGTAAAGAGGTACAGTGCTGCACTGATACCTTTAACCTTCTCCTCTACCTACAAACTTCAAAGGCAGTGGCTGGAAGGTAATGTAAGAGAACCAAGAAGCAAGAGTCCAAGAGCAAAGGAGAATTAAGAAATGGCAAATTCGTTGCTCTCTTGGATGTACTTTCGATTGGGCTTGGCTTGGCAGTAGGTGCGAGCTTTGACGACAACTAGATTAGTATCTGAAGGAGGATTTAATAGTGTGCTTCTACAGGGCCTTGCTTAACGGGGAATACACACAAGATTGAATCAAGAAGGCAGTGAAGACGAGAATGAAGCGATAAGAGACTTAGGGTTTCAAAGTCAGGCAACAACATCTTTAGGATGCTCCACAACAAGAACGAGAAGAGATATGCTTCTAGATTGGCCTTAATTATTTAAGGTTGAACAACTAGAAACAAAATCAACTCTAGACGAAACAAGAAATACAACTTGTCTTAACATATAATTCGGTCCCACAAAACAATTAACCAAATCTAGATTCTAATACCATGTAAACTATATTAATTGAAAAGAACACAATACTATGGAGAAAATATCTTCATTTACAATGTAGCCACAAGCTCATTATAAACTGAATTGATCCTAAAATGTTTGGGAGAGATATGCCCATGTTATCCTTTTTTCACAGTTGTAGTGGGGATGCACATTGCATAACAATAAGCACTCAAACCAAAGACCCTTTATAGGAAGCATCTATTAACTACCTAATGACACTTGTTATCTCTAACACTAGTAAAGTTTTTTTTTAAAAAAGATATTGTAACTTAAATAAATATTTATATTTATATTACTCCTCTAATCCTTATTGCCTTAATATAAGATCTAATTAGCTAATTTAAGGAGATTAAAGATGTTAGTTAAATTAGTTAATATGATTTTTTTTTAAAACACTTTAAATATCTTTCTTAATTCTCTCTCTCTTCTACTTGATTATTGTTGGAAAATATTAATAAGATTAATTTGAAAAAAAATTGATAAACATGTGAAATAAGTCTTATATATATAGGACTAAAATCAACTTGCTAATTAGATTTTATATTAAAAACCGGAGAAGTATTGTTCAAAATGGGTAGACAGAACTATATTTTCAAATTCTATCAACGAAATTCATGTGTTTGTATAATTTTATGTGTGCACAGAATTTTCTAAAAAGAAAAAGAGAATAGTTCATCCTCATAAGCCATAACTACTTAAAAAAACGGGGGGAAAAAAGAATTTAGAAGAGGCTCTTCTTCGATAGGGAAGAATAAAAAATCGGGAGATAGCTTGGAAGAGCAGGGATGGATAAAGTATTGACTGAAGCGTAAATTGGCGTAATTCACCTTCAAACTCAAACTTAGAAGAAATTGAGCGACGCAAGGAAAGAGAGAAATTGGAGCTGGAGAGTCCGAATTCTCGTTGCTCTGGTGAGGATCGGACTTGTATCTTCGCCGTTCCTTCCTCGTCTTAAGATCTTCGCTCAATAATTCCTGTGAGTCTCTTGTCCTACGATAGTCAGTTTGATTATCTGTTTCCCCTGTGAAATTTATCGTTTTTTGGGCTTCGTTGTTTTAAATTATACCCCCAGTTGTTTGGTTTATGCCTGAGAAACGTTTAATATGGGTCCGGTTTTGCAGATTTCCTTATGAGGTCTTTACGTCAACGCTAGGTGGTGTTGTGATTGTTGTCGTCATAGGAAATATTTTGGTTGCTTCAGAATTTGGATATAGTTTGGACAGTCCATGTTGTTCCTCTAGTGAAATTCTGATGAGTAATGCGTGGCATCCAATGAATTCGGGGGCCTTAAGTTTATTTCATGGGTAATAAGGTTCTGTTCTTGATAAAAATGGATCTGCGACAGGGGATTAGTAGTTTTGGCAAGAATCATGACTATGCTGGATAACTAGTGTATGATCCTTTTCAAAGAGAATAATAGTTTCCTTTTGGTCTTATCTTTTTCTCTTTTTTATTATGGTTACTTGTTATTGTTACATCAGGCAGGAAGAACTTTTTGACCGCTTATATTTTTCCCTCATTCAATCATGCCTAATGCCTATTTGATGTAGCTGTAAATGCAGCTCGTGTTATCTTCTACGGTAGTTCACAAGAAGATTTTGTTTTTGTTCTTAGATATTTCCTTATGATTTTAGATTACTAGTCTATAGTTATGGACATATGTTTCTGGAGTCAGGAATTTGTTTCATAGTTGTGCCTATTTACTGGCAGATATTGGCACAAGCTTTGTTTGCTTCATGAGCCAAATTGCTTCTCTGTGGCTTCATAATGGTAATGAAGGGTATCTGTGAGAAGATTGCTGCTGCTAAATGTTCTTCTAAAAGTTCAACAGAGACTTTGGATAATAACCAGGGGCCTGCTTGTTCACAAGCAGGGTCTATCGACAGTAAGTTTCCCAAGGCTTGGTCAAGCTTCTTTTCATCTCCTTTTACAATCTTTGAAACATATAGTGAGTCATCAGCTTCTGAAAAGAAAGCAGTTCATTCTAGACATAGTGGGTGGGCAGCTGCCGTGAAGAAAGTTGTTACTGTTGGCCCAATGAGGAGATTTCATGAGCGTGTCCTAGGGTCAAGCAGGACTGATATTTCAGCCTCAGATGGTGATATATGGCTCTTAGGTGTCTGCCATAAAATCTCACAGCATGAAACACCTGGGAATGTAGATACAGGCAATGGATTTGCAGCATTTGAACACGATTTTATGTCAAAAATCTTAATGACATATCGGAAAGGTGTGGTACCTCCATTTTTGGGAATTTTTTCGGATTACAGGCAATAGTTGACTGGAACATTCCTAAAAAGTTCTAAGATGCGTGCTTGCCTATAGGTTTTGATTCTATTGGGGATTCAAGGTATACTAGTGACGTAAGTTGGGGATGTATGATTCGAAGCAGTCAGATGCTTGTTGCTCAGGTATATACTATTTTCTTTTCACTCACAATTTTAAGTCTAGGTGTGTTGGGGCCAAAAAAAAAAAATTTAAGGTGACTGTCACCTGGTTCCAGGTGATTATCTTCATTTATATTTTAGACTGATGCTTTGATGTGTTTTCATTGTGCCAGGCATTACTTTTTCATAAATTAGGTAGATCATGGAGAAAACCTCTGCAAAAGGTCAGTGGCTGTCATGCAATGTAGCATTTCACTAAATTTACCTTTTTCCTTTCCTCCATCTTTCTTTTTTGTTGGTTTGATATATTATTTCATTCTAATTTAAATTTCCTTGTTTTCTGGTAAGTTGTGATTAAATAATTAATCTTGCTATAATAATTGACTTGATTCCACATGGGCTCATTGTGGTGTTTTTCATAACATGCAGCCACTGGATCGAGAATATCTCAACATTTTGCGTCTTTTTGGTGATTCTGAAGCATCTCCTTTTTCTATCCACAATCTTCTTCATGCTGGTAGAAGTTATGGCCTTGCTGTGGGGTCATGGGTGGGCCCATATGCCATGTGTCATGCATGGGAAGTTCTAGCCCGCAGTCAGAGGGATGCAAATGACACTGAAGAACAGCCACTTCCTATGGCTGTATATGTTGTTTCTGGAGATGAAGATGGGGAGCGGGGTGGAGCACCTGTTGTTTGCATTGAAGATGCCATCAAATGTTGCTGTGAGTTCTCAAGGGGCCATGCTGATTGGACACCCCTACTTTTATTGGTTCCTTTGGTTCTTGGACTTGATAAGGTTAATCCTAGGTGAGTAAACTTTACAAGTTTGTATTGTGCTGTATGATTTTCATTTGACTTTGGCCATTTAATGGGTTATTTAATTCATTTTGAAATATTAAAAGGGGCCATCATGTGGAAGTGATTCATTCATCTTCTCTATTAAAATTGTATAATCGAAGACTTGAGACTTTGCATAACATTCTACTATTGGTTTACTCTGAAATTGTGAACAACTATATTTTATTCTCCTTTGAACCCACTCCTTTATGTCTCCAGTGTTCGTCCAATGAATGTTGAATCACGGCCTACTGAAATCTGTCTAATAGAAAAGGAAAGGAAACGAGAATGTGATGAGAAATGAGTCTAGTACCCCTACATCAGAAAAAATAAGATGGGGTAGACACTGACCATACATACCAGACATTGCCTGAAAAAATTGCCTCATTTTTTGTGCAACCCTACTCCCTCCCCTTATTATGGCCAAACTTATAGCATTTATCTTGAACATTGGAGGAAAACAACTGTTGGGTGTTGACTGATATTTTGCATTCTGATGTAACATGTTACGTTAATAGAAGAAGAAAGAGACAGAAAGGAGGGAAAGGAAAGAGAAACATAGAGAACAGGGGAAGCTAGAGGGAAGAGAGAGAAAGATAGAAGGTAATAGATGGAAGAGAAAGAGAATGACAGAGAAAAAGAGGAAAAGAGATACAATCCATTAGGCCGATCACAATACAACACACTTACAAATGAGAGATAAGCCTATTTATATAGGCAAAGCCCAACGGCTACTAACTGCTTATTATTCTAACTAACTCTTGATTCTGTTCTTTATTTATTGCAATGTCATATCATAACATAATGAATTGTTCCTCTACCTCATGTTACTAGCCAAGATGGGTAGAGAGAAAGAAGGAAGGAAAGTCTTTATCATAATGTGAAATCAGAATCTGACTTAATAAACAAGAAATACTTTTACTAGAATATGAGCAAGAATCTTAAACTCATAATACTGATAAAGCCCAAGTAGAATCTCCCAATTTAAAATGGATATCAAAATCAACATGCCTATCTCTACTAGTTATTGCCTTATTTATAATTTATAATTATAACATAAAAATAGATATTTAATTGTAATTAAATAAATCAGAAAATAGACAACTATATCCTAACCACATTGACTGGGATAAACAAATCCTAATTGACATATTTATAGATAATATTTCACTCTTAATTGCAAGTGTAACTAAATCAATAACTCCCAAAAATATGCTAACAAACAGATCCACTAAGATTTCACCCTCTATCCCATGATCCCTTGTGAATATGGCGCTCTATTATTTTACTAATGAGTGAAAAGAGATAATAATTGGGAATCATAGTCAAAGACCATTGATGATGTGTAATTGGATTGTTAAGTTTAAGCTTAAAATTAGATTATATTCTTTAATTCCAAGCGCTGACAAGTTGAACATGTGAATTATTAGGTATATTCCATTATTGCACTCAACCTTTACGTTTCCCCAGAGCCTTGGAATATTGGGGGGCAAACCAGGTGCTTCAACATATATTATAGGTGTTCAGAATGAAAAGGCATTCTACCTTGACCCTCATGATGTTCAGCAGGTATGGCACGGAGACCGTGGAAATTGTTAACATATGGGTCATATGTTTGATTAATCAGTCATATATACTAAATGAATAATTTTTATTGTTAATGCTGCTTGCTTATCAGTCTTCCTGATATCTGAGTTAACAAAATTACAAAGCTGAAATCTTATTTGACGTTCTCTTTGGAGGAAATAGAAAAATTATTTTATCATTAGTCAGGTTCTTTTGGAAAGTTTCAGCATCTCGTGTATTCTGATGAAAACAGTCCCTGTAGTGTTGTTCAATTCAATGATAAAATCCCCTAGGGTGCAAGTCTAACGGAGGTAGCTTTCTACAAACAAAAAGAAATAGTCGCAGCACTGCTATACCCCTGTGTATTTGAGAGACACAGGCTTTCCCGACCAACTTGCCAAAATCGTTAATATGTCTCTCACACAACCATCCCTTACCGCTTACTTCTTCTAACTGTCATACACAAATGACCTTAATTGCCCTTGGACTTCTTCCCAACATGAACCAAATCAGGTTTACGCCCATCACATTTCTTCAGGATGCTGGTATATTTGTTTGGTGCCTCTTCCCGGATATCAGCATGTCATAACTCTGGAATTGCTCTGAATCTTATCACATTAAATTCTTGTGATTGACTCGTATATGCACAAGTTTTTGCTGATGAAATGAGGTCAAGTACATTTTATTCAAATGCATTCATTATATTTGTTTTCTGACATGATGATGACCATAATGTAGTTTAACAATTTTAGATATGAAATCTTTGTTTGCCTAACTAAATGTTCTGTATCAGTAACTTTGAACCATTTCTTGCCAGATGCCGTGTCAAATTGAATCAAGTCAACTATTCCTTCCTTGACATGAACTTTTTAATATTATTTATGGGCATTTTTGGTCTTTTAACACTGACACAGATGGAATGGTTCCCACCCATCAGTTGTGTTAATTATGTCACTCGATTCGAGCACTTGTGCTTGCTTGAATTCAGTCTGAATACGAAATTGTGCTGCCACCTATTTGGACTGATTTATTATTTTCAAATTCTTGCTGCAGAATATCTTAAACACTTGGACCATGTTTGGTATGAGGGAAGGAAAATTCAACAAAGGGAGAAGGAGAGGGAAATCTCTTTTAATTATTTGATATACAATAACTAAAATTCTAAAGGATTAGTGTTCCTCTCAAACAAGTGAAGTATGGAATCTGCTCTCCCTCTTCCTTTCCTTTCACATCCCTCAAAAATAGCTTCATCATACTAAACTTGACCTTAGGATCAAAAGGTAGTATCCCCACCAATATCTTCACCTAGTTTTGGTCTTTGGATGTAAACAAGAAGTGGAGATAATCTTTTTATGGCACTTCACCTCCCCACACATACCAACATAGATAGAGCCCTGAGATGAACCAGTATTTAGAAGGGAAGGGGAAAACATAAAAAGATGAACTAAAATGAGAAAACACTGATAAAAACATTAGTCATGTGGTGGATAAGGGAAAAAAAAAATTCAATCTCTTTGGTGGGTTGGCCCCTAATGGCTTAATCTCAACCATTGAAAAAATTCAAAGGCTGAGAAATGATGACTGCAGTGTTTTAAGCTGGATATTTTAAAATAATTATGTTTTCTCAATGAAAAGGGCAAGTACTAATGGCTTAAAGTTACAGAGCAACATTAAACTCGTGACCTCCCAGGCTCCCACTGGCTGGGGAGTTATGATGCCGTTAAGCCACAAGGCCGTTGGCTACAGTAATTATGTTTGCTCATGCAGTTTGGTAAAATTCTTAGAAATGTCCAAGTGAAGGTGGTTTATGTGCAGTGCCTTTTTTTTTTTCGCTTTCTAGGAAAATGGATTAGCAGCATACTAACCAACACCATTGTCTTGGCATGTAGCTAGTAACCCTACTGGTGGTCCATAGTAAATGTAGCTGTGCAAGAGCTGCCTCATATTAGACCGTATTAAACATTCAGCTGCTGTAAATTCTGTAAAATTGAATATTGACCAGCGCTATGCGACCAGCTAATGAAGTATGGTTCACATGAATGCCTACCAAAAAGTAAACGCAAAACCACCATAGTACTATTATGATCATATTTAGCAAATTATGCCCAGCGCGGTGTGCATGCAGAGGCCAACTCCTGCAAGGGCTAGCCATAGCCAGATAAATTTAGCTTATGGTGCCCAGAGCTTATTTCTCATCTATCAGGATTCAGCTTGTTAAGAAGATGGGCTTCAGTGTTTATTTTGTATGGGTCTACCTTGTTGGATCTTCTTCCATATGCCTCAGACATAATAGATGAAAAATATATATAATGCCAGGGCAAACATATTAAAATAAGTCTAAATTTAGATTGTGCAATCTGGATAATTTCTTTCCTCCATGGAGCCTTTAAGTGGTAAAATAATGCAATTGCTTCATTTTCAGAAACATATTGACATAGTGGTCCCGTAAAAGATAATGAGCATGCAAAAAACAAAAAAACAAAAAAAATAAATGGTGAACTCTGTATTTTCTACCTTCTTTATCTTCTTTTCCTGCATACTTTAGGGCCTGGTCAATCGTTTTCCCACTTTCTTCATCTCTGCCCCTATTTCATTAATGCTGGAATAATAATTTCTTTGAAAGAAACCCCCACTTTCATCATCTCTGCCCCTATTTCTTTAATGTTGGAACCATAATCTCTTTGAGACTCCCGCTTTTAACTTGAGCTGATCCACAATCAATACGCTTCTTATCATGGGGTTGGATTAGGTAAAATATTCAATGTGTTTAAGTTGCTAGCTGGATATGATCCTCATTATTGTTGTTTCAGTGGTGTTACTGGTGCCAAACTTTGTGGATGTGGCACCAAAAACTGATCTTTTAAACGCTACTGGTTGACAATCTAAATGCTGCATATGATTGATCATACTGTTTGTTGACATCGTTGGGGTGGTGTTTTTGCATTCACATCTGACCTAGCGTGTTTTGGTTATGGTCAGGTTGTAAATATCAATGGGGACGATCAGGAGGTTAATACTTCGTCGTACCACTGCAAGTAGGCCTGCAATCAGTATTTATCTTTGTTTTCCCACAGCTTGTTCATTCTTTGTCTCTAACATTCATATTCCTCCCAGTGGCATTAGGCACATACCACTGGAGTCAATTGACCCATCCCTGGCCATTGGATTTTACTGCCGTGATAAAGGTTTTCTGACTACTCTGGCTTAATTCCAAGAGTTCTTGCACGTTGGCTTATATCTAACCCTTTTCTTGCCTCCTTTTCTACTTGTCAATGGTGTTTCCCAGATGACTTCGACGATTTCTGTTTCCGGGCTTCTAAGCTGGCTGATGAATCGAACGGTGCACCATTGTTCACTGTGACTCCATCGCGACGTTCCTTGAGACAAGTCGCTGGCAGTGATGTATCAGTTGATAGTGGTAGACTCTACAATGATGATGCCACTGGAATGGAGCCTGTGGATGATGCTGGGGGCTGTGCCCATGAAGATGACTGGCAGCTCCTATAATGGTAGGTTACTGCGTGGGTTTGAAGTAAATGGGCAAAATGGTTAAATGACTCTCATTATTGTTTGAGATTGCAAGTTTGGTTGTGCCTGGGATTTCCACTTTATTAGGTCTTTGTAGAAAGTAAATCACTCATCATGATTCTTTAGCTTAAATTTTTTTATTTTGTCAAAATGTTGATATAGTTAACCAAGTATTTATTGTACATTTACATAGCCAGCTTATTCATGTTTGTTGCCTTCACTCCATAAAACGTTGCTCACATTGGGCTATAATTCTCTCTGTTCGTATGCCTTCAGATTTTAATCTTGCTGGTTTATTCTAGAAAATATCATCAGTATAAATATTAAAACCGAAAATTCAGAGTACTTTTCACTAACCAGCAAAAGGGTGACTCTTTTTCACAATTCTTATTTTGATGCAGTGCTCTTCATTACTTTTTTTTTTTTTTTAATTATTACATTCAAAGTACAAGTCACATGTAGACTATCCGCGTTATTTTCGTCAAATTCTAAAATTTATAATTGTACTATTCCGTCTCTTATTATAAGATATTTTTAACTAAATTGTGTGATTTAAGAAAACAGTTAAAATTAGTTAAAAGTAATTAATATGTAGTAAATATAATTGTTTTTCCAATGTGAAAGAGTAATAATGAGATAAATGAAGAAAAAGAATATATTAAATGTATTAAATTAGGGACAAAATAGATAATAATGTATTAAATGTTCAAACAAACTCAAAAGGGATCTTATAAAAAGGGACAAATTTATTCAAAAAAGTAGATCTTATAATAAGGGACGGAAGGAGTAATTCTTTCAAAGATTGTTGACAGTAAAATATAAAATTTATAACAAGCTGGGTAATTCACTAATTATGAAAGTATAATTTATTTTTCATCCTGTCTAATATGAGAAAACATATGTTCAAGTGACGTTGATATTAATTAATCGTTTTTAAAGAAATTCTAGCCTAATTGATCCGCAACTTTTGAGTTTGGTTATTCAGTTAAAAATTTTGGAGAGGAAGTCCCTCCTCTGCCCTCATTTTGGCCCTCTTAAAGGGAATAAAAAAAAAAAAAATTGACTTGTCTCTTACGATTTTTGTGATAAAATAAACTTCTCATTTGTTCCAGACATAATTTGAATTAAAAATGAAAATAAAAATTTCGTAATTATATTTTCATCATAATTTTTTGTTATATTTTGTGAATACCCATGTCAAAATCAAAATAAACTCCTCACACATTCTAGACACAAAGGAAAAATTAATTTAAATTTAAAATTAAAAATATAATTTCTCAACTGGTTTGGCCTCAGGATTTTCGTGATATTTCATTTTTAAAATATACATTATATTAATTAAAAATATAATATCATTATATCAGTTTTTATAAAAAAAAAAATTGTTGGGATGAGAATGAATTTTAATTATGCAATTTGAACTAAAGTGTAAAAAGAAAAATATACCAGGTCAAAGAAATTTTTTTAAAAAAAATATCCACATGGACTAATGTAAAGATAGAATGATAAATTAATCATTATCGTTCCGTCCCTCCTCCTCTCCTCCAACGAAAACCAAACATTATCTTCTAGGTTTTAGGCCTTTTTATCGATACCTGTATAGCAGAAAATATTATCAAAATGCTACATTCTTGAAAATATTTATCAGAAGCTATTTCTAAAATTGCTCATGGTTGGAACGAGTTTAATTTTATATAGAAATCATTCACAGCAAGAATAATTTTTATCTTGAGGCAAATGTATATAAAATTTTCTTTCAAGATTAGTCCTAATGCAGATAATATTTGTAACCAATAAGGATGCCGAGAGAAAAAATATAAATCTAAAAAGCAAATTAAACTGAAGTTTTATATTTAAAATTAAAAATAAATTAGTTGTCTAATTTTTATATTTAGGATTAAACCAAAAGTAATAATAAATGGCATTTTATTGCATGGGGGTTATGAATAGCAAGGAGTTTCTAGGATTGGGAGATTATTTTTCCTGGTTTACAATTACTAACATTTATTATCTTTCAATATTTTATTTACTAATTAGTTTATTAATTTCTCACTACCAATTTTTGGGGAACTAATGAGTTTAATTATGAAAAACAAAAAAACTTAGGTCAACTTTTTTATATCCATTATATCAAACTTTCCAATCATATGTAGTTATATTTGTTTCATGTGAATTTATGATTAAATGTTAATATTTCAAAAATAAAACACATAATTATATATGATTGGAACTTGACATAAATAAAGAACTTGATGTAAGTATTATCTATTAATTATAATGGAGTTTATCTATATGCCAAAACTTTGTTGAGTTTGGAGATGCGGCCCGCCATGAACTCATCCTATTCCTCCTTGTTTTTTAAGAAAAAATTATAATAAGGTCCCACTCAAAAGAATTAAATATAAAAAAATCTCTTAAAATTATCAAATTAATTTGAACTCCCAAGTAGAGATGGGAAAATAGGCCGGCCAGCTACAGGCTCGAGACCATGCGTGTCGGTCCTAAAAGGACCACCTCCTGGCCGGCTCACATTTTGCCAACCACCCAGCCAAGGCAACCTGCCAACCTCCTTTTTAAAAAAAAAAAAAATTTACACGTACATTTAAAAATTTTTAAATTAAATTATAAATTTTTATAGACTATATTCTTCTTATTCTTATATTTTCATATAATTATATAATTAAATTAATCTCAAAAGTTAAAATATAAATACATAATTCATTGTTAATAATTATTTTATTAGTATAAAAATAGTAAAACAATAAAGAAAATGAAAAATCAAATTTACAATTAAAGTATCTAACAAAATACAAAGTTTTATGTAACTTAAATGAAAATAATAAAACTTTTTCTTATTAAAATTAACATAAAAATTGTAAAAAAAATTTAAAAAAAAAAAAACAGGCTGGCGGGCTGTGAGTTGGTGAGTGCTGGCTGAAAAAGATGGTATCAAAATTGTCTCTATTTTTTTCAACCCAACCTGCCCTCTTATGGCGGGTTGAGCATTACCAGCTCAAGTCCTAAGGGACCTCATTACAAGATATTTTATTTATTAATTACTAAATTGCCTTTATTTTTTTAAAAATATGTATTGACAATTGAAAGAAGAGTCGTTAACAACTTAAGGTATAATAATTAACAACTATAGTGGTAGGTATTAACAACACATTTTCTCAATGCATGAGTTGTCAATACTTGCATTAAGAAAATGTGTTGTTAATACTCTCATGATAGTCATTAATCGTTACACTTTAAATTGTTAACGACTACTTTTTCAGTTATTAATGTATACTTTTTAAAAAAAACAAAGGTAATTTAGTAATTAAACAAATAAAATCTCTTCTAGTGGGGTCCCTTAGGACTTCACATTAATTTTATAATTTCAAGGAATCTTTTTATATTTAATTCTCTTAGGTGGGACCTTATTATAATTTTACCTTTAATTTTTTTTCAATAACCTTGCTCCTCTTTTTCCACTTCCTCTCTCTTTTTGTGTTAGATTGGTTCACTGAAGAGAGAATTAAAATTGGGAGAATCACTTTGAAGTCCTAAGTAAGAAAAATAATTACTAAATAATCTTAATAACAAGTAAAAAGTTATAATTTCTTACTCTAAAACTTATCATTACAGGCTGACTAGTAATCATTATGACTTTTTAATAATTATGTTTCTTCTCTAGGACTTTATTACATTTCTCCCACAAAGAACCATTTCAAATTTTCACTTGAAATGAAATGTAGATGTTAGATTTGCCACCAGATGACAATCATTCTTATTCACGAGTATTAACAAGTAAAGAAAGAAAAGTTCCTAACTTATCAAAAGTAATTCTAGACCAAACTATAAGAAATAGAATTGAAAAGAGATAAATAAAAGGAGAGTTTTATTTTAAGAGCAAAAAAGGAATATTGAAGAAGTTTATTTATATCAAAGGCAGCCTTTCGTACCAAAAAAAATTGCAAGCAGGAATCTGAGTTTAACATCAGTTTAGATGTTTGAATCTAGCAAAGCATAGCCCTCACACATCTTAGGAAAAAATCTGTATTGTGAAAGAAAAGCTTGGAGAGGGATCATAATAATAGATATAACTATGAAAGAAAACTGCGGATCAAAATTTTCTTTTAAGGAGAATGAGATGTATTGTGAACGATTTCAGTATAAAATTAAACACATTCCAACCGTGAACAATTTTATATGTAACATCCTAGTAAATATTTTCAACAATGTAGTATTTGGGTAATATTTTTTGTTCTGTTCATAGGCTCATAGCACATCATTCAAAAAGCCTTGTCCTCCCCTCCCTCCCCGCTCCTTGCTTACCCTTCCCCTCAAGCCAAACAAACCTTTGTCTCTAGAAATTACAATGATGATTGGTGAGCTTTATAAGCTTGAACGCCAAAGATACCCCTGAAAACTAAAACGAAAGAATTGATTTACATAGAATTTTTTTTAATGATAAAAATTCATATTGATAAAATTTCAAAATTATATTAGACCATCGTTAATAATAAAATTCGCATTTGGCAAGATTTCGTTGAAAAAGTGGGCCTAATAAATTTAAACAAATGGACTTAAGTTCTGCCTACAGGTAAACTCACGAAAGTTTGATTAAATTGATTACTAACGTTTAATTACTACATATGTGACTTTGTTTAAGAAAAACAAATAAATATAAAGGTTAATATGCAAAAAAAAATACCCATAAAATATTTTGTTAAGAGCTGCTGGCATCCTCAATTCAAGTATGATGTAATTTTATCCATTAATTATCAAAATTGTGCAAATTCCTCAACTTGTGAAAAGGTTAGACATCCGTCGAGTGAGAGTTGTAAATCCCACATAATATGCCACACGTAAATAGGTTATGGTCGAAAATATCCATAAACTTTTACATTTTTATGCATTGTCGCCTATCAACCCGAAAAAATGATACAAAAATCCTTAATCTAAAACAAAAGCATACGTTAACCATAAATGTTAGAGAGGTTGATATTTTATCTGATCTGAAGTGCAATATAAAAATACATATATTTGAAGTAATCCTAACTATCCAACCACAAACAATAATTTTGAGACGTTAAAACTCAAACCAGCTAAATATGGTACTTTACAACTTTTGGAATATTTAGAGCGACTCCAAACTTGAGCTTGTAACCTATAAAACTAGCCAATCACATTGCATTTGACAAACAAACACAATCATTCATCCCATGAGCATAAAAAGCTTACCGAATACAAATCCATCTTCCTGG